AGATGTGCTGTGATTTTTGAGCTTTAGAGCCAGAAATCCCCTGTAAATTAGCATTAGCCCTGAGAAATCTGAGACAAAGTAGAGTCGTCATGTGTAAAATGTATTGCCTCATTACCTCACGTAGGACTGGTCTTACTTAGTTGGAAATTAGAATCGATTAAGTCTATATGAGGTGCTGAATGTTTTGTCTGCCCCAACATGTCTCTCACTAAACTGTCCCAACATCTGAAATCACCGTGATCTTGCCAAGGATAGCTCAGATAGCAGACACACAGTTAGGACCTGAATCTTTTTAACTCTAATGACAAAATTCTCAGCATTCTGCTCTACTTAGTTGCTTTCACATAGTTTCAGGCACACATCAGAACTGCAGTGTCTTGACAGGACATGTTTTCCCAGACTGTCTTGGAGAAAAATCATACATTTGTTCCAAGCACTTTGCCTTTAGTTCCCTGGTGCCAATCTCAATAGTAGTTAGTTCTAAGGGTGCCTGACATTGCAACAACATGTCCTCTATCAACTCAAGCTATATTAAACCTATAGGAATCAATCTCAGATGGTAGAAGACTTTTGCCTATGTTGTCACTTTTGCCCTTAGTCCTATCCTGCTGCTTCGCTCCAACACTTAGAGTCCTCTTGAATGTTTTTCCTGCCAGGTTGCCTGGGTTGCAAAGGTTGCTACCCAGCATTACATAGTCAGGCAGCATTTTTTGGTGGTAGGCTCCAGTGTTTACTTAGAGTGAGGGTGGGGACATTTTCATGTAGAAAGTCACTGACCATGGGAAAAAGTTGCTCAGAGGTTACAAAAGTAAAGAGCAGATAAATATCAAATGTAAGCCTCAGTCAGTTTACGTATTAAAAATTGTTAACAGAAAAACAAATAAAAATTATTAGGCTTTATAACATGGCTCTGCTTAAAGGAGAAGCTCAAAGACAAGTGGAAGGAAGAAAGAAAATAATGTTGAAAATTTTAAAAAATACTGATGGGTGGAGTAAAATCCAAAGACTTCAAGAGAGTACATATATATATTTTATATATATACACACACACACACACACACATAAGTATATGCATACATATATACATATATGTATTCAATTGAATACTGTGATGGTTAATTTTATTTTCTATTTATATGCTGTTTATAAGAAACACATTCAAAACATAAGGATCCAAAAAGGTTGTAGTTGAAGGATAGAAAAAGATACTCTGTCAAAATATTGACTGTATTAGTTTTCTGTGCTGTATAAGTTACCACAACCCAAACAGCTTATAGAACGTCAAGGTTTCCTTGGGTCAGGAGTCCAAGCGCAGCTCACCTGGGTCTGCTGCAAGGCTGCTATCAAGGTGCTGACTAGAGCTGAGCTCCCATGTGGAGGCTCGACTGGGCAATCTGCTCCAAGCTAACCTCAGCTTGTTGGCTTGTTGGCAGAATTTATTTCCTTGTGACTGTAGGATTCGTGGAAGCTTGCTTTTTCAAACCAGGGAGAGAGAGAGCACAAGAGGGACACTAACTAGAGCAAGACTCCTAGGAACATGGAATTTTAGAAAAGGTAAGATAACCACAGGAGTGACATCGCATGTGATGATTAATTTTATGTGTCAACTTGACTAGCTCACCAGGATACCCAAATAGCTGGTAAAACACATGTCTGTGAGGTGTTCCCGGAAGAAATTAGCATTGGAATCAGTAGATTAAGTAAAGAAGATCACCCTTACGAATGCCCACCTGCCCACTCACAGCTGAGGGTCTGAATAGAACAAAGGTGGAGGAAGGGCAGGTTTGCTCTTCTGTTGAGCTGAGCCATCCATCCTTTTCTGCCCTGGAACATCAGTGCGCCTGGTTCTCTGGTATTCAGACTCCGGCCAGGACTTACACCATCGGCCCCCTGGCTCTCAGGCCTTCAGACTGGGACTGTATCACAGCACCAGCCTTCCTGGTTCTCCAGCCTGCAGATGGCTGATTGTGGGACTTTTTGGCCTCCATAACCACATGAGGCAATTCTCATTTAAAAAAAGCAAAACTCCTTTTATATCTATTTATCTATCTTATTGGCTCTGTTTCTCTAGAGTACTCTAACACAAATACATGTATTCAATACACATATTCAAATATATATTCAATTGATTATAATATTCAATATGCATATATGTAATCTACACTAACTTACGTACAAATGGTATTCCTCACAGTGTCCTTGATAGGTTCTGTGACTTTAAATGAAGTGATGTATGATGAGGGTGACTTACTGTAAGCTAAAAGATGTAAAGAAAAGTTAAGTTTCTACTGCATCTCATCATCATTATAGTAAAAAGATGTTACATGAGGTCCAGCTGTATCTATATGAACAGAGAGGGAGAGAAGAGAGAGAGAGACTCAATCAAAGGGGATATGCCCATTTCTCTGCCCCCACTTTGTTTTCTCTATTTCTCCCCTCTCTCGCTTTTTGGCTACTGTCCACTGATGCCCCACCTGCCTCCTAAGATTCCATTTGGCCAGGCTCCTGGGCAAGTTGTGAAAGCGAAGATAAGAAAGCCGCAACCTCATTGTTACCACTTGGTGGATCTCAGAATTGAATTGCAGGACTCAGGCGTCGGTTTCAGCTGCCCAGCCTCATCTGTTTGGCATCCCTGTGGCTCAGCAAGTCTCTGTGACTCCCTGGAAACCTGGAAGCTTGGGGAGGGGGAGAAGAAACAAGCCCTGGGTCTCCATGGTGCTTCTCCTCCCCACCCAGTTATGGACGGCACCAATATTTCACTCTGCCAGAGCGTGTTCCTTTGGATATAGTAGACTTCCTCCTTCAAGAATCAGACTACAAAGAGTTAATGATGGGGCAAGAGCTGAGGATTCAGAGGCAGGCCTTAAATTAAAGAGAATGTCCTCCCCTCTCCGAGGCCCAGGCTCTGAGATCTGGAGCAGTCTGAAGCTCTCCTTTCTGGGAGCTGACAAGCCATCTGGGGGATGGCTCAGACCCGAGCTGTGTGGTCAATTTCTCTGTAACCTGAGCAACTGCTGCACTGCTCTATTTTGTTCCTTCACTTGCTATCTTCGGGATCATTATCACAGCTCTTCCACAGTCCCTGGTCAAAGTAAACAGCAGTTCCTGAAAGAAATTATTAGCATGCCACAAGGCTTTCTTCAACAACGAGGAACATATTAAGGTCACATTTCAGTACAAGTAAGCCTCTAATTCAGATACATGATGTTTAAACAGCCTCTAAAGATGGACCTTGAAGAGCTTTCCTTTGACAAGAAAACATAACTCAAAAATATTGGTTTTAAAATATATTTACATAAGATGCAATATATACCATTATTCTCTCACGTTGAACCCTTTCATTTCACATTTATTTGAGTCATTCATGTCACTTTGATTTACAATAATTTCATGAGATTCTAGCAGAGAGATATACATCTTTACAACACATTACTTGCAGTAGGGTAAGGGTACTTAACTACATTAAAATTGTGACAGTTTTTTACACATTTTAAGCACCTTTAAAATGAGAAGAAAAACCACTCCAAACCCAAAATTGCAGCCCTATCCTCTGCATGTGAAGCAGAAGATAATTTGGTCATTTGTCCTCGTGCAGTGGGTTTTCCAAAGTTAAAATTCATATAGCATTTGTGTGAGTGTAATCTCTCAGTTGTCTTGCTCTCTCATATTGCAATCTTATCACATTTAGGTGGAAAAAACAATCAAGTCAAACAAAAATTATCCGGGTCCCCATTATTAAGATGGTAATTAGTCCTTCATCTAGATGTTATGAAGGGTAACAAAATATCTTCTCCTTTTACCAAGTCCATGCTTAGCACAGGTGATTGAGATGTAGGATAATACAAAAATTGCCTTTATGCCACAGGAACAAACTTAAAAATAGTTTATTAAACTGGTGTAGAAGAATTTCCCTCCTAGTTTTTATTGGTTAGTTTGTTTCTCTTTGCCCTGTCCTGGGAGGAATTTTAGGCAGCTGCTTACTACTGCCTGTCTGATATGATGTCCCAGATATTATTAATAAAAATCCTTCCAGTGCACACTTGGGTGGCTTGAAGTTGGGGATAAAACAAACATTTTTGAGTTTTCTTAGTACATCATTAAGATACCTCCAGAGCCTAATTCTGACTCTTGCTGCCATGTCTAAGTTTTTAACCATTACATATGGATTTAAAAAAATATTTTGTATTGTTGCTCAATTACAGTTGTCCCCATTTCCCCCCCATTAATCTCTTCTGCCCTGACCAACCCCCATCCCACATTCAGTCCTCTCCCCCTTTGTTGTTCTTGTCTATGGGTCCTTTATACATGTTCCTTGACTTGACATGTTCCCCCCGCCCATTTTCTTCTTCCTCCCTCCCTTCTGGTCACTGTCGGTTTGTTCTTTATTTCCATGTCTCTGGTTCTATTTTGTTCACTTGTTTGTTTTGTTGATTAGGTTCCACTTATAGGTGAGATCATATGGTATTTGTCTTTCACCCCTTGGCTTATTTCACTTAGCATAATGCTCTCCAGTTCCATCCATGCTGTCACAAAGGGTAGGAGTTCCTCCTTTCTTTCTGCTGCAAAGTATTCCATCGTGTAAATGTACTATAGTTTTTTGATCCACTCATTTACTAATGGGCACTTAGGTTGCTTACAGCACTGGCTATTGTAAATCATGCTACTATGAACATTGGGGTGCATAGGTTCTTTTGAATTGGTGTTTCAGAATTCTTAGGGTGTAATCCCAACAATGAAATTGCTGGATCAAAAGGCAGTTCCATTTTTAATTTCTTGAGGTAATTCCATGCTGTTTTCCACAGTGGCTGCACCAGTCTGCATTCCCACCAACAGTGCACTAGGGTTCCCTTTTCTCTACAACCTCACTAGCACTTGTTGATTGTTGATTTGTTTATGATGGCCATTGTGACTGGTGTGAAGTAGTATCTCATTGTGGTTTTAATGTGCATTTCTCTGATGGCTAGTGATGTTAGCATCCTTTCTTTTTAAATATAGATCTTGTGTTCACTTTGGCAGCTCATATACTAAAATTAGAACAATACAGAGATTATTAGCATGGCCCCTCTGCAAGAATGACATGCAAATTTATAAAGTGTTCCATATATTTGGAAATATGGAGCAGATTGAAAGTGACCAGAGGGGATGGGGAAGGAGGACAACGGTGGAAAGAAGGGGAAGGGACTAGACAAAGAACATGTATGAATGACCCATGGACACGGACAACAGTGTGGGAATTGACTGTGGGAGAGGGGGCGGAAGGGGTGGTGGGATGGGTGGAGGAGGGCAAAGGGGGAAAAATTGAGACAACTGTAATAGACTAAACATGATTTTTAAAAAAAAAAACAGGAATGGTTTACGCAACATCTATATAACGTGGCAGCCAAGGGGAATGGACTGGAATGCGCATATGTGGAAAATGATGACTTCGCTCACTAATCAGTGGGGGCAGTAGACTTTGTTGAGTGAGCATATGCACTGTGTGGCCATCGCATTCAAAATGACTGAGCGACTAGAGCAATGAATCTGCATCAAATTTTGCATTAAGATGGAACATTCCACTACGGAAACTATTTAGATGATTCAGAAGGCTGCAGTTATAGACAACTGGTGATTGGCAGCTTCACATCAACACATCTGCTCATGCATCACAACTTGTGCAGAGATTTTTGATGAAACATCAAATCACACTGGTGATTCAGCCCCACTGCAGCCCAGATTTGGTGCACTGCAACTTCTGGCTTTTCCCAAAACTGAAATGATCTTTGAAAGGGAAGAGATTTCCCACCATTGATGAGATTCAGGAAAAAATGACAGAGCGGCTGATGGCGATTGGGAGAACTGTGTGAGGTCCCAATGTGCCTACTTTGAAGGGGACTGAGGCACCATTGTCCTATGTACAATGTTTCTTGTATCTTTTCTTTAATGAATATTTCTATTTTTCATAGTAAATGGCTGGATACTTTCTGGACAGAAAAAATATAGAGATCCTACTGTTTTCATTAAATGGCTAGGAATTTTTTCATGTTCACAGGTAATGCAAAATATTAGGCTGAATATGGGAAGGTATTGATGGAGGTATTCTTTGTAATTCTGTCCCCTGGGCATATTCACCCGAGGGGAGCATAAGGAAACTTAGAAATGAGGAACAACTTATTTACCCAATTAATGAAGACCAGGAAATGGTGATTTATGTTGCATACACTTTAGTGATAATATAGCAGCTTCCATTGATTAAGCACATATTCCCTATCAGACTGCAGTAGCAGGTGTTTTATATACATTTGCCCTTTACAGTGATCCTATTACTATCTCCAACTTACAGAAGAGGAGATGGAGGGGAGAGGAGCTGTGGACGCTGCTCTCGGTGCTTCAGCAAGGTCAGGCTTCCAACCCAGGCTAGCCTGGCTCCAGTCTCTTTCCACCATGGTGATTCTGCCTCCCACCCGACGCTATGATAACACACCCTTGGCATCGTGAAGTCCTTGTCTGACTTGGAGATTGCCAAAAGAAGCTAAATGTCACTCACACCCACACCATAGCTAATTTAGGTCTCCATTTTTTGTGGATAAGCCTGGAGTAACTGCAACCCTCTGCGCTTGCCTGATTTTCATATGGATTATCAAATATTTCAAGCTTCTTAGAGAAAGTGACTAAGTCACAGATATTGTCATGCAGGACATGGCTGGCAAATATTTCCCTTGCAACTGCCATTCAGTAACAGAATTACGAGGATTAAAATTGAGGAGGCCGACACTTGGGATATTTGGTAGAGAAGATATTTCAAGAACAGGACCTTAAAAACAGCAACAAGAGCTCTCTGTCACAGTCCACCCCTTTGGCTAACCACTATTTTTATGTAATGATAGTGCACATTTATCCCATCTCCTTGAATATGTCTCATGAAATTCTGACAACAAGCTCAAAGCTAAGTTTCTGAAGTATCAAAGCTTCAGTTACGCCTATTCTGGTACAATGAAGAGAGGTGTGATGAGACAGTTATGAAATTCCCTTGGAAAGTAGAACCACAGGAAAAGAAAAGAGACGTGTTTTAGTAAACTTAGTAAATTTTAGCAGACCGAAGAGAGAGATAAGAGAGGGCAAAATGAGTGGAAAAACAGCAAGACCCTGACCAGAATATGCTAAAGGGTTCTGTTTGCGGCCACGGACACTCAACCCATCTGCAGGCAAAACTTAAAAATAAGGGGCATTGATGTTTCATAAAATGTACTTTAATATATTAACTCAGAAATAGTAACTCTTTATTCTGTATTCTTTATTCTTTATTCTTATGGTCTGGAACTCTTTCCTATGCAAATAAGAATCTTCTTAAGACTAAAGGATAAATTACTATGGAAGAATATGGTAGCAGACAGTGCTAGTTAGCCATTGAGTCTTCCTCCTTACTCGCAGAATGTTGTTTATCTTTGGGCATCCACCCCCTCTCTTTGTCACTCAGGAGTAAATCTTTATTAGCCTCAGACAATCATGGCGATCCCATTCCACCTTGTCAATGACTGATTTGGAGGTGTGCATGTCACTCAGCTCTAGCTCAAGGAGACATGGGAAGACATCTGCTAGAGGCAAGGTGGTTTCTGGAAAAACAGATCATTAAATAGGAAGAAACAGTCCCTCTTCTGATTCATGTTATAACAGTATCTGGATATAAATACCTTGAACAGAAGCAATTATCTTTTGATCGTGACGAGGCTAACCAAAGACAAGGTTGACCCTCTGAGGAAGTCAGAGCACAAAGGCATAATTTCACCATTGAGTTAGCCAAACACAAGATTTGCTCTATCTAACAACTTCTTGTTATATAAAATATATTATTAATATTTGAGGCATTTGAGTTGCTGTTCAATTTTAATGGTACCCAGGATTTGTTTTAATCATGTGTGTTAAAATATGCAGGCATGGAAATGATTACTGTGAAGGAAGAAATTTTTATTATGCTCACAGTCCTCTAGAAACAGTAGGCACAGCAAGCAGTGCTGGGCCACACAGGGAAGCACAGAGGCAAGATGAGGGGGCCGGCAGGGCTGGGGGGAAGGCCACAGCGGGGAAGAAAGGAATGGGCGAGGCCAGGTAAGCAGTTTTAGGATTGGCTGGTTTGAGTAATTTCAGTGCCCCCCAGGGCATGTCCCTAGATGTATAGCATCTGGCCCTGGGGTGTTTAGAGCAGGGAGTAGTGGCCTGGAGTATAAGAACAGATCCCAGGAGATGGTTGTGGGTATAAGTACTGGATTTGTTGGTTTGTATAGCAAGGTCATACTCAACAGGCCAATTGCTGTCTTTAGGAAATAGATGCCCCTGGGGGAGGCAGTGCCTCCCAAGTCAGCAAAGAATACAGAGCATCAAGAATACAGAAAACAAGAAAAATAGTTAATATATTTTCTAACTGATGCAATCATTTCCAAAACATTGTAATTTAAAAAAGGAAAAAACAGTGATTGTTTATTGGATTATCTCAGGAATCCTCAAAGAAGTAGAAAAAGTTATTTAGTTTTACCCAAAATTATCTCTTCACACTTCCTCAAACATTCCATACAGGTAGTAATACATTCTGCCGATGCTAAAACCAAACCAAAGAAAGAAAGTCAAACTTACAGTAGGTTAACCTAACATCATTTTATGTTCTAATATATCAACTATCTCAGAAGTAGATGTCCAGGGCTTGTACGGTAGCTCTGAAATGACATCTTTCTTCTCAATCATCCTTAAATGACTTCAGCCTCATGCTCATTGCTTCATGGTCATGAGAGGCTGACTCATCTCCTGCACGGTGTTTGTATTTCAGGCCAAAAGAAGGGAACAAGTATCTGCTATCTAAATCTTTCACCTTTTCAAGAGCTTTCCTGTAATACATCCAGCAACTTCTACTTACATGTCATTGGTCAGAACTGCTTCATATGGCTCTCTCTCACTGCAAGGGAGGCTGGGAAATGTATGTTTTTAGTGGGGCATGCCATTTCAAGCAGTGCTCAAATTCTGATATTAAGGAATAAAAAGAGGATGGATATTGGGTAAGCAACAATTCACCCCTTTGACTAACCAATGTTTTTATATATTTATTGAAAACATTCATCCCATCCTTATGAAGATTATCCCAAAGTCTCTTCAAATCACAGCAACCCACTCAAAGTCCAGTTTCTGCAGTGAATTAAAACATTAGTTCTATACTTCCCAATGCAGAGAGTATGGTGACCTTAATCTTTCATATCCAAATTGAGCTGAGACTCTTGACCGATAAATACTGAGACATTGCATTCTTTTAGACCAAACCTATATTACTGATACATAAAGGAAAGTATGTTTTCACCATGAATCCCTTTTTTCAAACTTCAAAAACTTCCTTAGAAATAAATCATTTAGTCTAACCTATTTCTTCTTCTAGGTCAACAACAAAATGAATACAAAAGAAAATTTCTAAGGGCAATTTAGATGGAAATGCAAAAGTCTCATATTCTCTATAAGTAATGTGGTTAATATAATTAGTAGTTAAAATTTACTAGCAATTATGAGTAGAGAGGGTTTTGTGAAACTCCAAAAAGGGCTCTTTTCTGTGCAAACTAGCTTCATGAAACACATATATATAGAGAGAGAACACTAGCTTCCATGTAGATAAGATCATTCTGAATATTACGGGCACAGACTGGATTGTCTTTCAATAATAGGATTTTACAGGTAGTTATAATGGCTGCTAAAATATCACTGGTATAGTACAATAATATTCCCTCCCCCCCCATCCCTGTCCCCACCCCAACCCAGGGCCAGCTTCAATTCCTCATTTCCCAATATTGTATTCTGCTACTTTAGGATGCAGAGTCAAATGATAACAGCAGTGCCAATAATCATAACAACGACAGAAGCTAACATTTATCAAACATGTGATCAGTCAGGCAATGTTCTTAGCACTTTACATGTATTAGCTAATTTATTCCTTGAAGAAACCTCAAGAGGTAGGGGTACATACCTGGGTTGAGGGTTTGGTCCTCAGTCGGGGTGCATGCTAGAGGCAACCAGTTGATGTTTCTCTTTCACATTAATGTTTCTCTCCCTTTCTTTCTCCCTCCCTTTGCCTTTCTCTAAAAATAAATAAATAAAATC